TACCCAGTCTGGGTGGGAGCCTGCTGCTAGCAGCTGGTTCATCTGCACTGCTAGGCATTCATGCACTGCTGTTAGTTTCTTTAGCCAGTAGGTGTGGATCATGTCCGGGCCAGGTGCTGTACAGCTCTTCATGTTCTTAACCTGCTGGTAGATGTCTGCTACTGTGATGGTGACTGGTTCCTGTTCTGGGTGATTGTTGTGGTCTGCTCTCAGTTCCTGCAGCCACTTTGCACTGGTGTTATGTATCTTCTCTTTCTCCCCTATGTGCTTCCAGTGCTTTTCAGTTTCTGCTGTTGGTGGCTCTGCTGTTACTGTGTTGTACTGCAGTTTGGAGTACACCTTGGATGGTTCTTTGGATAACAGGGCATTTATCAGTGAGTGCACAGAAGAATTCCTGAACATATGGATAGGACTCATTTAGACAGCCAGGATACAAATGTTGGCAGGGCTATTTCAATGGGCAAGAAGACCTGTCATAGACTGATAAAGTGAAGAGAAACAACTCAGGATCTATTGTATATCAAAGGTTAATTATATCATTAAGACCAATACTACCTCTAAGACCAAGGACTAACCTATTCCAAATCATGGCTTTCTGGAGAATTAATGATGGAAGTAATGATTGCTAATAGTTCAGTTTTTTCAGCATTACAGCTATTGATGTATGTGGATTTGAGATGGCTTGTGCTCATACCCAGGAGTGTGCTGCCAATTTGTTAACAAGAGTCTTGCTTTCTTTTGACAAATTACACAACCAAGTTGTTGGCTGTCTAGTCACAGATAGTGGCAGAGGCAAGGAGAGAGCTGGAAAAGTTTTTATTTGTCAGTCCCTGCCTGGCTTTGTCTTTCCTGCTTATTTTCTGGAACTAAGTTAGTTGAGAGAGATTAGAGCAATGAACGCCACCAAGTAAAGATGCCTGAGCCTTCTCTTCCTTGGGATTTCCTCAAACACTCTTCCACCCCCAGCATCCCTTATGTGGAATTGAGCTGAATCTCTTGGCAGAATCTGCCTCATTCTTCACCTCTGCAGACATAACTAGGCTGCTATTAGGGGATCCTTCCTTGGTGATCTTCCCAGCATTGTTCTGCCATTGTTCTTTTCTTTTTCAAGAAGGAGCTTGGATAATTCCCAAAAATTTAACTGGAGACTTACATGAGCCCTCTCTAGCCTTTCTAATATACCCCTAGTTCATACCAGCTTTACTTTTAATAAACAGTCAGTCTAGCTTTTTTAACAGTTACATAATATCACAGCACTGATAAACTTTAAAGTTTGCCTCGCTGTATAGCAATTCTTCACTTTTTAAATTGCATGTTTTACCTTGATATGAAGCTTTGGGATGAAATAACACCAAGCCATGATATTTTGAATCCAAGTATTGTGGATGAAACCACAGTTGGTGGATTCATACCTGATTTACAAACTGCCATGGTGAGGTTCATTTATAGTGCTAAATCAAAACCAATGGTCTACTATATTGAGTAAACCCAAACCCAATAAGTGTTACAACTTATTTGGAATAGAAGAGTTGTTTATGAATGAACGTAGGAATATTATGATGCTTTCAGGTTTAGAAAATTTCCATGCATTTCAAAATTATTGTCATTTACCATCTCCTTCCTTTCCAAATGTTTTTAAAGAGTCAGACAAATTCATGAAAATCTATCAGTTGATATCAAACATGATTAATAAGTAGAACTTTTATACTAGCAGATACCAGGGAAGAGCTGTTTCTGCCCTATTTGTGAACATCATGGAAACATCAAAATGACTACGGTTGGAAATAGGAAGCTTTTAACAAAGTGGGATTTTAATCTATTTCATTTTTATTTATATAATTTCTTCTTAATCTGTATCCTACATAGACATCCTACAAAGATGTTTGATATAAACTTCAGTCAACGTGGTCAGTAGTCAAGAACAATGAGAGTTATAGTCCCAAGTCATCAGGCCAAGGTTGGGGGGTTGATTTATTTTTATATGCTAAGTCCAGTGCTGTTAGAATGACTGCTAATTATTCTTTCCAGCAGGCTGTATGCAAATAGAAGAAAAAAAAAAACTAAATAAACAAGACAGCTTAATTGTTTGTTGGTTGCTTGATGTCTACAAGTCACAATTAAAATTCATGAATGATCAGTAAAGAAATTTTTCCATAATATAGCTTTGTGCAATTTTAGCATTATAGTTCTCACCTCTGTGGAAAGTGAAGCTATTGGCCTAGAACCAGTCTTCAGCGTAGCATTAAGCACTGAGACAGAACAGAGATCCAAGGATCAGTTGCCACCAAATTCCCTTTTACAGAATTGTCAGAATTCTCTGTTGGGAAACCCCAGAAGTACTTAGTCACAGTAGCAACGTATTCGTGTGAAATGTCCATTTTTCTTCTTTCCTCATTTTAGTGCCAACTTTGAAAATGCTGCCAAGACACCATGACAAAAAATTAAACACCTTTAATTATTTCATCTGTTCCATTCTGTAATTATCAAATTCCAGAACATTAGTTGGTGTTAATTGGCAGTGTTCCAGTGCAAAAAACAAGCTTTTACCATACTAAGGAAATGAAATATTTTCTTCTGATTCCTGAGAGAGAGAGGAAAAAAAAGTCACTCTTTATTTCTTATCCTAACGCCATAACTAAACATTTAAAAAACCTTATTGGCATCTTGTATTTTGCTAAACATCACCAAATAAAAACTTCCTGTTAATACTTCATTACCTATCTTCTGTGTTGATACTAGAGAAATATATGCATATTCTTCTTGGAAAATAAAGGGAATTCATATCAGGTTGTACATTTTAAGGTAATTTCTAGTATTTGAAAAAGAAATATCAGTTGATTAACTGTAGATTGGAGAAGAGATCTAAACTGGAGTGTTTTGCATATATCAGGGTTGCCTTTATGTTGTGAATGGATTTGGGAACTGTAAATACAATCTGGAGAGCAATATTTGGGGCTGAGTCTCAACGAATGGTGGCACATGGCCAACTTAGTCTCAAAAGTTACAGATGAATCTGATTAGTACTTAGAAGGGAGACCACTTGGGAAAACTAGGACTGTAGACTAGGCTGGGTACTAAAATAATATTCTAAAAGGAGACAATGGCAAGCACACATTGTTACCAAGAAAAATATGTGTATTAAATTAAAATCAATGAAATAAATGAAAATGAAATCATCAGAAGTGAAACTCAGTTTGAAGGACATTTTACCTTCCAAACACCCACGTTTTAACCACTGCCTATTTATACGCATAATATTTACAATTGGGGGGGGGGGGGTTTGTGGGGGGAGGGGTTCAAGTCAGTCTTGACTCCTGGTGACAGCCTGGACAAGTCCCTGCAGTTTTCTTGGCAATTTTTTTCAGAAGTGGTTTGCCCTTGCCTTTTTTCTAGGGCTGAGAGAGAGTGACTGGCCCAAGTTCACCCAGTTGGCTTTATGCCTAAGGCAGGACTAGAACTCACTGTCTCCTAGTTTCTAGCCTGGTGCTTTAACAACTACGCCAAACTGGCTCTCTTACAAAAATTTATTACATATATATGCTCATAACTGTGAAATCCTTTTAACTTGCTTATTTTACTGAAACTAATACTGTCTCATTTTCATCTGTTATAATAGAGCTTGATTGATAAAGAAGGCTAACCTATTTGCACATTCACAGTTTCTTCTAATATAACACTGTGTTGTGTGTCACCCTAAGTAAGCAAATAGGTTAGCTGAAAAATAAACCCTTTGTAGATTAATTGGAAAGCCAAGTGAAATCACAAATCATAATACATGTTGATTAAATGTTTCTAATCTGCATACAATATATGAGAACAGGAGTCTTTTATTCCAGGGACAGATCATCTACAGCCAATGCCCAGGATGAATGAATAGAAAAAATATTCTGCTGGGCTTCAGGATGTGCAGAAAGCTTGTTGAGTATAAGTGAACGTCTGAATATCTGTATTTTGCAAGGATCAAGCTAAGTGGTAAATCCTCTGTGGTTTACTAGGATCTATTAGAGTTTCTTATTATACACGTTTCTCTTCCTCATTCAGATGTCTTCAATATCTTATGTTTGATGAAGATATTTATAAATTCTTAGTACTTTAAAAAACATGATTTTAATTTTCACTTAATACTGTTGAGAAGAGAATGACCAATGTGGCCAACCGCCCAGTTTGTTATCAGTATCATCTAGCTAGATTCCCTGAGCCATTCTGTGGTTTAACAGTTCCTACAATAGTGCCCCTTGATAAAGGGTACAATCCATTACACTTCATGGTTGTGGCATCTCAATTCTTTGCCATTCTCATTGCTCATGTTCCAAGTACTTGCACTGCCAGGATTCAGTCAATTCTCTTTATTCGTGGGGATGGAATTGAACCAGCCAAAACTTTTTCATTTATATTTTGTGTTAGCTATTTGTCCTAGGACCGGGTTCAGAGCATTAGTTCCATACAGAACAGGGTTTTCCACAGAATTTTTTTGGCATCAGTTCTCATGCATGAGATATTGCTTTAAACAGGCTATAAAGTACTGTTTACTTTTTAGACTATTTAAAGTCAAATCATAGAATCAGAGTTTCATTGTGTGGAATTGGCATGGGAAGCCAATAAAACAACTAAAGGAAAAGAATGTAGATAATTCTGATGGCTTCTTTTTATTCTTTCAGGTATTCCAGATTGCTTATGTCATTGTAAAAGCAGCTAATGCACCCCGGCCTGGAAACTGGATTTTGGAGCGTTCATTAGATGGTAACAACTACAAACCCTGGCAGTACTATGCTATCACGGATACAGAATGTCTGACTCGTTATAACATTACTCCTCGCACCGGACCTCCCTCATATGCAAAAGATGATGAAGTTATATGTACTTCATATTATTCCAAAATCCATCCACTAGAAAATGGAGAGGTAAGATGAGAAATATCACTGTTGTTAGTAAAGTAGCAATCAGCTGTCCTGTTGAATATGCATATGACCTCCTCAGTCATGTATATGCATAAAGTTAATCAGATAAGACATTTTCAAATATTGTTATAAAATGGTTATAATATGCCTTATAGGATTTGAGAAGAAAAGTTGGATTTTTTTCTCCCACAATACTTGACAGAAGTTTCAAATTACACAGGATTATCAACAGACACATCCAGACCTGGTTAATATCAGGGTTGAGAAGTTAAGGATCCTTTTCTGACCCTCCAGCATCTCACAGATATTGTCTCCAAGACTAGCTGCTTCATAGACATCTTTAAAATTCAGTTTAGTTAAAAAGGAAAGAAAAGCATGTATGCAGTGAATAAAGCTGATTAAACCCAGAAATACATTTACATTGATTTCCCCTAATGTGAAATTTAAAGGCAAATTTAGATGTTCCTTCTTAGGTACAGAGAGTATAGAAGATGACCTGGACAGAAAGATGCAGGAACTGTTATCTAGGAAAAATGGGCTGAAACATTTTTTAAAAGTCCAGAACCAAGAGATGACATTTGGGAAGCATCTCAAGTAGACACCTCCCTAATTCACTGAAGTATAAGAAGGAGGAGGAAGTACAGCACAGTCAGAGTTGCATGAATCTCAATAAAAGTAGTTTTAGCCTTCCTGTGGAGTTGATTTCCTTATCTAGTGGGGCTGAGATTACAGAAATGCCTGAAGAGTTTCAGATTAAAGAAAATGTTTCTCTCTCTCTCTCTCTCTCTCTCTCTCTGTGTGTGCGCGCGCACATAGATAGATAGATAGATATGGATGGATGGATGGATAGATAGATAGATAGATAGATAGATAGATAGATAGATAGATAGATAGATAACTGCTCTACATCTGCATTTTTTCTAATCATTCTCATCTAGCTTCATAGGAAATACATGGATTTTTAATATTTTTCAAAAGAAAATCGATGTTTTCTAGTGGTGGCACATGAGGTTCTTGCTTTCTCCACCATCTTGTAATGGTAAAATTAACTAAAAAATCGCACAGAGAAATGTGAAAAAAATTCTAAAGGCCCCTGAGGATCAGGTAAGAAAAACAAAACAAAATGAAAAACAAAACAAAACAAAATGTTTTACCACATAAGACATTGTTATATAACATGATTAATTCAACATTACAGGAATCTTAATTTGGCACTAATTATATTAAGATAAGTAGCATTTCTGAGGTTTATATGTCAAAGTATGTATACCTAAAAGTTTGGAGGAATCAGAGTAGATGGAACATCCATTGAATTCTGAGTTGTATCTAGAGAGAGAACTACCTTTGCCCTATGCTGAAACTTTTTAAAGAGAAGAATTTGAAATCAAATATATTCATTCAATAATGTCATTGTGGTTACAGAAAATCTTTAAAAATATGATATTTCTTCCGTTTAATGAAATGTTAAAAAACACTCATCAAAGACTATATTTACTAACTTATAAAAAAGAATAATTCAGAAAGAATATCATTCAGACTTTTTTTTTGCAACTGCTTTCCCAATGATACTTCCTTAATTTTCATCAGTTTTTCATCATCCATCTACAGATCTTCATTCAGTGTTATAAATATTTCTTTTCAAATGCATGTTCTAGGTTTCTTCATAATTCCTTGTGAGTTAGTGTATTCCCTACATCAATATAATCATCTGCCTATACAATCCTAGTTCTCCCAAACAAATGTTTCAATATGTAATACAATATAAAACACTAGAAATATTGTTGTCACAAGAATTAGGGTTTTTGTTTTGTTTTGTTTTGTTTTGTTTTTAATGCTGCAAGCATAACTCTGATTCATTTGGCCAGAGTAATGAGACATATCTTTATATTTAAAACTGTGAATTACAACTGTCATGTTTGTCACCATACATCATTCAAATAGAACTGTAATTTCTCATTGAGAAGCTATACTTTGCCATATGCATTCCTTCCCTTTCTCTATTTTTCAGAGCAGGTTGTTCTTTCCTGTCATCCCAAGTTGTTGGCATGAATTCTGATGTTAGGCATTTCAGTCTAAATCCCCAAGCTTAAATATCTATTAAAGTTGTTGCGGGTGTTAGCAATCTGTTGATATTTTGCTGTGCATTGTGGGGACAGGGTGTTTTGTTCTCAGTGACAATTTTCCAGTTTCCCTTCACTTCAGTCTCCTTTACGAGTTTTAAGTGTGTATGACAGTGGACAGTGTAGCTGATTTTACCACCTAGCTGGAGATGATGTTCTTTGACTGGGTGCTAAGTTACACTATCCATTAATCTTTCACAGTGATGAGGAAAAGGTGGTTATTAGTGTAGACAGCAGTTTTCTTCCTCCTACTGAGATCCATGAAACAATACTTTTGAGACTTTATATAAAGTTATGTTGGTGCTGAGGGCATAACTGTGAATTGTTCCTCATTTTGACCTTGTAAAAAAAAGACCCATGGCTTTCCCCCTTTTCAGTTAGTCTGTTGAGATATGGGAGATGCCCCTTCAATGTTTCGGCCTATTTTATTTTATTTTATTTCATTTCATTTCATTTCATTTCATTTCATTTCATTTGTTACGTCTTATTAATATGACAAGATTTTTGACAAAAAAATCGGTTATAATTTTTTTTTCTCCATGAAAGAATTATCAGTGGTTAAAAATTCCACTTGTCCATGCAGTCACAAGCAGCCAAGACTGAGTCAAAGGCACTAAATACATAAAAGCAATAAAAGTTCCACTCTTAGTTTGCCTTTTGATGGGTTCAAAAGCTTATTTCTGACAGATGACTATCAGATGATAATTCTGCTTTGCAGTGAAAGTGAGTCACAACAACCTTCCTCCTTTTAAAATGGTAATTAATGCTAAAATGAACATTAGAAAAAAGAAACTACAAATATAGATTTGAAATTAACAATTAGCAAAATCCCTAAATTTATAAGAATGGAAAGACTGAATCATATTTCTTAGCTTTGGTTTTCACCAAGCAATTTTAGTTTGGATATGGGTTTTAGGTTTCATTACTGGATTTTATAATATTTTTAATATATATATTAAAAAGTATATGCACTATCAGTTCTAAGGAGTCTGCAGTTTTTTGTTTTTCTTGTGCCTTTGAATCAGTCTTGACTCCTGGCAACTGCCTGGAGAAGTCCCTGCAGCTTTCTTGGCAAGGTTTTTCAGAAGTGGTTTGCCATTGCCTCCTTCATAGGGCTGAGAGGAAGTGACTGGCTGAAGGTCACCCAGCTGGCTTCATGCCCAAGGTGGAACTAGAACTCACAGTCTCCTGGTTTGTAGCCTGGTACCTTAACCACTACACCAAACTGGCTCTCCTGTAGTTATTTCCCTCTGTTTTAATAAATGTGCAACAATAGAGTTGCCTGAATCATATATACAAACAGGTGAAAATGTCTCATTCCCAAATCTTCAGTCCTGTGAATATATCCCATGATCCTGGATCCTGCCTAATTGTGGTTTCTGATTGTGCTGGAGTACAACCATAGAGGGCCTTTCCCCACTAGGAGCTGAAGTGTTGTCTACCCATCCTGGAGGGTAAGAACACATTAACTGTTTATGCTGTGCAGGTGGAAAAGGCTTTTAATATTCAGTATTGAATGTGAGGAGGTCAAATCTGAAAGGATATGGCCAAATTCTGAGATTTTTGAGTGCAAGGCCAACCCCCATAATCTCGTGTCCCTTAAATGTGTTTGTTTTCTTTATTGAAGTAGGCTGTTATCAGAACAGAGCTATAAATAATAAGAGGAATATAGTATATTTAGATGATATTACCTTCCAGCACTAATCAGAGCTCTCTTTTTTTGCTGCCTGTCAGAAATGTGTAGCTGCTCTCAGATTACCTTTTTTGATAGTTTAATAAAAATGTCAAGTTCTTCAAAAGTATTGTAAGTTGGGCTTCATTGCTTCTGATTCCTGTGATTTTCATTAATCTCAAAACTAGAAATTAATGATTACCATAGGGATTTTTGCTTCATTTCATTTGTAGTGATACCATCGTTATTTGCATTTAATTTATTTCTTTATAAAAGCTTATTTTTATGCATTAAACTGAGTTCCTATGGCTTATAGCTAGACTTAGAGTAAACCCAGAGAAATCAGTAAGACTTAATTACCACTAACTTAAGCCAACAAAATAATCTGGTGATATAAAAAGTATTATAGAGTTTTAACTCTAGGCAAATCTATTTTTGCCCTGTGGAAGATACATTACATTTGTTTATCTTCATTTCTCTTAAACTTTTAGTGATCTCAATATTTTAAATATTGTGCTTGACACATAACATTCTTTGTTTTTAGGATCTGTTTGAGTTTAATCAATAAAATCAGAAACAAATTAGCTTGTAATAATCTTAATATCCTATTAAGTCACACAACTATGAGCTATTACACTGTTTTGATATCATTATTTCAATCTTTACACTGGTGCTTTAAGAATACAGGTAATCCTCGCTTACCAACTGCCTCATTCAGAGACGATTCAAAATTATATTGGTACTAAAAAAAATAACTTTACAACCAGTGACCACATTTATGATCTTCGTAGCATCCCATTTACGACCTTCACAACGTCCCTCAGTCGCTTGATCACAGTTACAGTCAGTATGTGTTGTCCTGTGCCTGACCTGTTGTTTTCTTTTTCTCCCTCCCTTGCAGAGCAGAGAGATTGGAGAGGCAGGGATTACAAGAGAATAAGCAGGCACACAGTGGGGAATACACATTGAAAGCAATGTGGTGGCACTGGCAACCCAAGCATGCAAACAGCTCAGTGTATTCCCCATTGTGTGCCTCCTTATTCTCTTGTAATCCCTGCCTCTCCAATCTCTCTGCTCTGCA